GAGGGAGGTCCCCAGTTATTCTTTTCCACAGCAGGTCCCAACAGGTCCCCAATCACCCCATTTGCTGTTCCCAATGGTTCCTGTCCCTTGGAAGCAGCATTTCAAGGATGATATTGGACTGAAGGAGTAGAGGAGAAGATGAAAACTCCTATGTAGCTGATAGAAGCAAACAATTACTATTGGATACAAACAGCTGTTTCTAAAGCCTCTCAAAGCACTAAGTATTGCAAAAGGTCCCTCAACAATTAAGGCTGTGGAAAAAATTCTCTTTTATAGGAGATACCATAAGAGGCTTCTATCATGACCAATGAGGTATAGGAATCACAACCCTAATTAAGCACAATCCACATATTAAGGAATCTGATTGTAGCCCATTCTTTTTATAATGCCTATATCATTTTCCTATCAATTGTACTCAACTCTGAATCACATAAAATGTAAGAGAAGAAAGAACTGAATACTCCTGAACTGACATCAGCTGTGATTAATATTCAACAGTGAAAGTTAGCAGGGGTACCATTTATATGTCTACTTTGAATTTTCCAGGAATGTTATGTTTGTAAATTCTTAGTAGATCACAAAGGTAGCCTTGATGGATAAAGAACTGTAGTATTTCTAGCTGTTTTAGAGATTGATGTATGCATTACTTCTGGAAAGGTATTTTCCTGTACAGATTGTATCCTCTTTTGGCCTCCATATACTTGTTTCTCCGATACATGGGATTACTTAAGACATTTACCTGCCATGACTGTGGATTAAAATTTCTCCCAACGTTTCCATCTATCATTGTGTTGTGTTCATAAAGGGATGACCGGGATGACCGCATGGCATGCAAAGCATGTGCCACAGCATAAACAGCATTGTAGACACTGTAGCTGTGGCCAGAAATGCTCATTTCAAAAACATCTCCAGGAAGGGTCTCCAGCTTCTCCTCCCCAGTGCAATCTTCAGCAAACTCCTTCTCCAAAAATGAGTCTGAGAAGTGACAGAGGAATGTCTGTTCCCAGAAGACCTTGATGAAACTATCTCCTTTATCCTGAAGAGGCTTTCTGCTGTGAAGAAATTGCTGGAATCCTGGGGGTTCATTTGCATGAAATGTGAAGGATATAACACCATGAAGGAGTTGTAGGTCCCAGGTCCTTTGATAATAAAATGATGAAAATTCCATCTGAACTGTCATAACATACAATTTGCCTTTTATCATTTGGAATTCAGTTTCTAACAGTTTTGCTAACCATCTCATATGTGAGACAGACTCAGCATCTCCAAAAAAGATAATTGCATTGGCTTTACTTCCCCTTAAAACATCAATTATTTCCTGTCCATTCTCCAGGCTATCCATATAATAATCGATTATAGTGGCTTGAAGAAATACTTTCTTGAAGGCTACACAGATTCCCTTCACAGAAAACTGAGGAAGCATGGCTTGTAGAAATTTTTCTCCATGTTCATCATCTACTGTAATGATCCCAATCCATGTCCACCTGAAATGCAGAATTAAGTCAAGAATCCCCTTGTATTGATAGGCTTCATTTGGGACCATATGATAGGCAGAAAGGCCTGAGAATTTATCTTTCATCTCTGAAGCAGAGCTGTAGGTGAGCTAAATATTGGGGAGCAGATGTTGACAGTGAGATAGAAAAGGGTTTTTTAAATATGTGTATATGAGCCCATAATCTGCATATCAGTGTACAATTTTCCATTTATATTAAGGGGGATACATTCAGCCCTTAAGTAGCCTTCGTCTAACTTAAATATCTCTCCCTCCAATGGAACATCCATTTAAGTTGGCACAGGACATTTTTGTCTGTAGAAAGGCTTCAAACTGATGCCGAAAGGAAAGTTTGGGTATGAATATTTTATTAAATAAACTTGGTTCAGTGGAGTGATAGAATAGTGATTGGGTTCAGCCCATTGTTTGTCAGATTCTAAATCCCTGTTTCATTTATTTTTTCCCAAAGATTTTCAAAGAAAATATCAAAACAACTTCATTTGTGAGAAGAGTGAAGAGCAGGGCTTATAAAAATAATCTTATCAGAATGGGAAGCAATAATGTCTTTCCTCATATGATATTTCCATACTTCAATGTACAAAATTAATTTGGATTTTTAAAAAAAGATATTTTGATGTTTTACTGATACTGAGATTCCCTCTCCCCACTATATTATATTTTCAGATTTGAAGATATTTAATTTGCATTAATGATATTGTGGTAAAACAACCCTTCAAGCCATTGTTTTTACCACTGAGAATGAGAGATTGACCCAGCCAGCTAGAACACAATGAGGAGTTCATCTCTCCCAGTTTATCCCATCTCCCAGCTTATCCCACTTTCACAAACAGGGTTACTTTCCTCAACCACCAGCAGACCTCAAATAGAATTGTAGTATGATGATTTTGAAGATAGATTGTAAAAAAAAATAATAATAATCAGAATCCACTCCTCAATTTGGCCAACATAGAGGTAGGGGGAAATGTCTTGAAATCTCTTGTTTGAGATATTCTAAATGAGGAGGACTATCTTTGTGTCTCTTATATTTTGGTGAATGTGAGCCATAACACATGAAGCTTTATCTGGTGGTTACAAAGACCAAATAACTCATTTCAGGGGGAAAAATCTAAAAGATTATGGCATGCAATTGATACAGCAAGTGAAAGCATGCAATTTGAAGGCTATAGAATCACCTCACAAAAATAAAAGTTGTCTAACCGCATCCTCTTCCTCTAGGTCTACAATTTGTCTCTTCATACTGGAGTAAGAGACATTAAATTACATATTACATTCTCTAAAAAGACATGTAAACAGGGACCAAGACACAAAAGAAATGCTATTGTTTATTGCCATTACTGTTTTTGCAACCAGAGTCATAAACGGCAACAGAAAAAATACTATGCGTTTAAAGAACATTGGATTCCCATATTGTTGAAGTTACACAAAAGAAGTATGTCACTGAGCTATGTCACTGAGCATAAGATGAGTTTCTCTTGGTTTAGATTTCCTGGGAACAGATAAAGTCTGCCTTTCTATAATCATGGTAACCCTTTTGTTAAAATCCCATCATGTTCCACATACACAGCTTACCTGTGGAATTCTGTAGGTGTTTAGAATAGTTGCCATGTAGAAGGACGTTTCAGATTCAAGTCCTCCTATGACTGCTATTGGACTGCTCTCACTGCCACACTTGTAGTTGGGGACAAATCTGCTCTTTGTGGACAGAAGTTCCATTGTGGCATGATACACCCGTATTGCATTGAAGTAGGTGTTAGAGATGTGGTAGCCCATGGTGATATTTTGTAAGAGATGCAAGTTTTCATTGATTTCCTTCACAGCAAATACAAGAGCCAAGACGTGCTGATAGTTTTTCGTCTGCGTACTAGGACAAGAGTCACAGAGATATTCTTCACTCAGCAAAATGGTTGTTATGGCATTGTGCTCTATGAAGTGACTATGCTTGTATGCTCACTACAGATATAGTCTAGGGCCCCAAAACTATCTTTTGTATATCTGCTAAGAAGTCCTCATGTCAGTCAAGGTGTTGAGAAATTGACACATTTTATGATTTATATCCGCTACACACACACACACACACACACCAAATGAACTGTGCACACACTTGTATACCATGAACCAAGGAAAGCTGTTTGCATTACCTACTGTGAGACAGAATTCACATAGGAAACGCTTGCCTGCATTTATGTTAATGTAGTTTGCACACATTCAGCTCAGAGTGCATCATGGGAAGAAGAAGGAGCACATGGTAGCCTTTGTGAGCAGAGAACAACAACTCCAGAAGAAATTCCCCCATTACGGCAAAGATGACATGTCACATAGAGCATGGACTGGATTTGCATCTGTATAACAGTTTCCTGTTGAAGGTACCAAACTGGCCTGGGAGAACCAAGATTCATTTGTATTTCAAAGGAGATACAGGAAGAAGAGACTTCACACCTAGCCAAATGGTGTTCCATGAGATAGAGCATAGTATTTCAAATATTGGTCCAACCCATAGAACACCAGCCCCTTTCCACATTCACCTATCAGGTAGTTCATGGGATGGACTTGTGAGTAGGTGGGACCACAGTCTGGCAGGGTGCCACCCACATGGAGGGCCCCACTATAAAAGTAAAGACGCAAGCCCTAGGTCTTTGCTAGCCAACCTTTCTTCTTTACCACCTCTTAAGTCCAGCTTCCTATACCACAAACCTTTGTCTACTTTAAGATCTCTTGGACTGCAGCCAATGAGGTCCACATCTTGTTAGCAGGTTCTAGCAGGTGTGAGTTAGCTTAAACCCCATAGGAATTCTTTTATCCCCTATTCTTCCATTGCAACAGACAAGACTTCTGGAATCAGGCGAATATAAAACCGAAATATACCTACCTACCTACAAGTAACTGGTACTCTATTTTTATTTCGTTCTGTATATCTAAAGGAACCTTGAGTGTATGTGAAACGAGAGACTGATTATTTTGTATGTGTGAACTTGAAATCCTTCAGTAAAAAGATTATTTTGTTTTGGAAAAATACCTGTGTGGTCTCCATTACTGGGTCTCCATCAGTAGACAAAACCTCGGTATAGCTGGCCAGCACTCACGTTAAAAACATAGCCATCTGCTGTAGATAAAGCATTTGGCGCAACAAAGGACTTTGTGTCATGTGAACTGCCCTTCAGCTCCACCTCATTTAGGATTTCATCACACTTTACTCCTGGAGAACAAACTGTGATGATTTTAAATGCTTTTCTAATATAAATTTTCATTTTCAACTTGCAAGTCAAGGGCTATAGGATTCTGTAATGTAATATAATTATTACACTTAATGGAAATGAGGCATGGTTTTAAAAGTGCGACCCCCCACGCCGGTTGCTCTTTGGGAATGCCTGAAGTTGCTCATTGGAAATTCAATTGATTGGGGTTTGATCCAATGAGCAGCCTATGTGGCAGAGATGAGGGTGAGTGGGAGAACATAGATGGGAAAATCCAATCAAATAAAATTCATTTCATCTGCAGTAGTACCTAAAGGTTCCTTTCTGCTAAGTGAGGAATCTGACAGTGCAAGAATACTGGGAGAAATATTCCTTGTTTCAGTGAAATGAAGTTTAAATTTACTGAGGATTCTTCACTTAGGAAAAGAAAACTGTTGCATCCCACATGTTCCTACTTGTAAATGTTTGGCAGCAGTGTGTAGTACTGACTTAAATGAAGCAAGTTAAGTGACTAACATAGATGTAAAAATCTATACACATTTTTAGACGCCTCTATGCCCAGTCTACTATGAATACAAACAGAATAGTTAACAGTTGGGAGAGAGGATGAACTCTTACTTACACAGCCATTTTATTTAGTATGTTATTTGGTAGGGACTTGAAGGATATCCTTTCTGATGGCACATATATTGGAGAAGCAATTCCCCCAATGATAAAGTCTCCTGCTTGAAAAGATTTGTAAAGGATAGGAAGAGGATCCCTGGTAGTACATTTAGGAATGTGAATCCCGCACTTAGTGCAAGACAGCAGCACAAGAACCAGCACCACTACTATAATTTTTCCCTCTTTCCTCATCACTCTGTGGCTTCTTTAGTTTAATTGGGTGCACCCCTGACCAGATTGATAGGGCAGTATCTAGCCTTTGTCTAGAATCCTGTCTCTGAACAGCAAATGATGTATTTATAGCAGACTTCACTATCTTAATTGCTATTTTTTTCTAACACCCACTGGAATTCCTCTGGTGCTTTGACAAGCAGTAGAATTAATCATAGTTCATAATTATAGAGGCGATAATAACATTTCCAAGTTGAAGTTTCCAAATTCTTTGAAAAATAGCTGAAAACAATAGCTTGGATGTTTATACAGAAGTCTAAGCACAGGTGGCCTTGGATGAAACTAAGCTACAATAGGACACTAGAAATGAAAAAACAAGGACAAGCCTTGTACTAAAGTGTTAGTGTGTAAAATGCTGCAAAGTCACAGCCAACTGCTGGAATTTTCAGGGTTCATCTTTGATTGGCTGTTCCTTTTTTCTTTTAAAATTATGTTTAACCACTCGGACCTAATTTTTAGCAATCAGACCCTTCCTCCGGCTGAGCTTAAAGAGGCAGAAATACTCCTCTACCCTGTTTCCCCAAAAGTAAGACATTCCCCCCAAAATAAGACCTACTTACAGTTTTGCCTCTCGCAGAAATATAAGACATCCCGCGAAAATAAGACCTCCCCGATAATAAAGCCTCCCCCGAACATAAGGCCTCCCTGATAATAAGGCCCCCTGAAGCTACCGTAACTTTGGACTCTGGGCCATAGCGGCGGGCGCCGCTGCACAGCTCACTGTTGGCCGCAGTGCAGCCGAAGCAGACAGGAAGTGCGAGGTCTCTTTTAATCAGAGAGCCCGCGCCGCCGCCAGGACAAGCTGCCGCCTGCTGTACCATATTCTTCTTCATGGAAAAATAAGACATTCCGTGAAAATAAGACCTAGCACATCTTTGGGAGCAAAAATTAATATAAGACACTGTCTTATTTTCGGGGAAACATGGTATGCATCACCCCAATACCCTAAGTGCAGGGCACTGCTGGTGCCAAAGTGCACCAAGATGGATGCCAGTCAGGCAGAGGCCTGGGAAAGCAGTTTTCAAGGCACGAGCCAGAGTGGGTGGGTTTTCTTCTGGAGACTCATTTCCACCAGTAACTTCTCTACCCACAAACCAATCTAATTGACATGACATTCTTAAGGTATTTATCCATTACTCAAGTGATCCAGCCTCTCAGATTTCAGGTAAACAAAGGAACAGATTTCCTTTCCTTTATAAAGTCAGCGAAGCAGTTTGTGCAAAAGAATATGTAGAGGGGAGGTGTCACCCCTCCTTATCTTCACATTCCTCTTTGGCAAACCAAATTATCACCTCCTCTTACAAGTCAATTAGTGGGTTCATGTATGGTGTATAGTTCCTTTAAATCTTCTCCTACCTTATTTTCTATGTCCATTTTTTTCACTGCTGGGTTGCTGTGAGTTCTTCAGAAAATCACTTCTGAATTAATGAAGCCATCTATAATCTATCTATAATCTATCTATCAATCATCTATCTATCAATCATCTATCAATCTATCATCTATCATCTATCAATCTATCATCTATCTATCGCTTCCACATCCCAATGTCTCCAAATCAGTACAAAAAGTCATTTGGCCACTCCTGCAATTAGGCAATGTCTGAAAAAAGTCATTTGGCCACTCCTGCAATTAGTCAATTTCTGTACCCAAACTGGACTCAGAGAAGGGGAAATTAGCCTTAATAAGGGTTCCAGGAAAGAATAGTGCAGAATCTTGTAAGTCAGTTTATATCAGGGTGGATTTCGGTAGGGATATCCCAAAATAAAATTAGGGGAAAGGGGAGAGATTATAAACCCAAACAAATAATGTATTGGATACAAACTAAAACAAAAAGAATAACAGTATAAAATACCTACACCAGGCACCTGAGAAATAATTCTCTAAGTAACAACACACATGCACACACACCAACAAGAGGGCACACTTATAAAAGGTGGGAGGCAGGAATTTGGGAAGTTTTAGGGAAGGGACATACAACCTGAAATACTGTTCTACAGCAAACACAGCTGAAGAAGAAGAGATTGGATTTATAGCCCACCCTTCATTACCCAGAGGTGTCTCAGAGCGGTTTACAAATTCCTTTCCCTTCCCCTCCCCACAACAGACGCCCTGTGAGGTAGATGGGGCTGAGAGTGCTCTGACAGAAACTGCTCTTTTTCAAGGACAGCTCTTATCAGAACTATGGCTTGCCCAAGATCATCCAGCCAGGTGCAAGTGGAGGAGTGTGGAATCAAACCCAGTTCTCCCAGATTAGAGTCTGCACACTTAACCACTACACCAAATTGGCTCTCTGAGGTGAAAGGAGCAGAACGAGGAGCAGGCTAAGCAAGGGGGGAAAGCCTGCAAAGTGCAGCAGTGCTGGATAAGCAAGGAGAAAAAGTCTGCGAACTGCAGCAGGAAACCAGAGTTCTGACCAGTAGAGGTCTGGACCAGCGATCTGAGGAACCATTTGCTATGGCAAGAGGTCCTTCTTTTATAGACAGATGGCTCCAAGGGTAGGTGAGATTCGAGCCATCTTGGCTTTGGCTTTGGTCGAGGTAAAAAGTTTGAATTTCACTGCTGATTTAAAGTCAACCGCTGTCAAACTTTGGTGGGGGAAAGTGGGGAAATACCCTGATTAGGCTATTGTGAGGCAAATATTCATGGGTACTTGCAAATGTTTGGCAATGTGATTAGCATAAGTTAATAGAGTTGCCAGCCCCCTCGGTTCCATGGGAGTTTTCCAATTTGGGGGGATACTTCCTGCCACCTGCCAGCTGACGGGCAGGGGAAGCCC